GAGGTCAAGTGGCTTACTCAGGGTCACATGGATGTCTTGGAGCCATAACTGGATGGCACTTAGAGATCATCTAAGATAATCTTCTCACAGGTGAAGAAACTGAGCCCCAGCTTCCGATGACAGAACAAGCCAGGTTCTGGAGAGAGCCACGTCTCTGCCTTGTGGCTCAGCGCTCTATCCACGTCCCCACTGTCCCCTTTACGACACTGCGGTCCTGAGCAGAAAATGATCGCGTTGGGGCTGACTTCAGTACCCCATCAGGGGCAGTCTGGGCCCCATGATCCTTAAACATCCCTCCAGTCCACAGCTTCCACTCTGCCCGGCCAAGCCCTCACCAGAGCCTTCCACGGGAGCAGCCCAGCAGGCTGGGACGGAGACAGCAAGGACTGCCGGTGCCCCTGAGGGACTCAGGTGTGTCTCTAGCAGCCTGGACTGGGTCTGAGGAGATGCTCAGTGCCCGTCTCGTGCCTCCAGCTGCCAGCTTAGTCTGGTCAGTGTGAAGCGGTGGGAGAAAGACTGAACTGAGGGCAGACCCTGGGGCCTCTTATCACACAGGGTCCATCTGTCCCCACAAACCCACAGCCTCTCCCTCTCAGACCCAGCATGGTCCCTTAGTCACAGATGACCTGTATTGATCATCTATTCTGACAGGCACCAAACCAAGTGCTTACCTGAACCATCTCATTTAATCCCCCCCGAGAATTACCCTTTAAGGCAGGCATATTATTCCCCTTTATAGTTGATGGAAGTAAAACTAAAGAGGTGAGTCACTTGCCCAAAAGATGCTGACAGTAAGGAACAGGGCCCAGCCCCGAGCCAGGTGTGGCTGGCTCCAGAGCCCACACCGCTACCTATCCTTCACGGCCTGCCACCTGCGGGGCCGGGAGAGCATCAGGCTCGGCTCCCTGCTTTACAGCTGAGCCCAGAGAAGAGAAGAGACCTACCCCTGGATCCAAGATCCAGAGGGTAGACCCTCTGAGCACCTTAGTCCCTTGACCCCTCCCTAAGGAGCCCGTCTGCTCTGCCCCAGCTGTGCCTGTGAGCTGGGGCCTGGGCCAGGAGCCGGACCTGCTCCGAATGCATGGGAAACCTACTCAGCCTTGGCCTGGGACCCATATTTTCAGTTTCATTCGCCTAACATGAGAGCCTGGGGCTGGACTGAGTTCTGCTTTTATAGCATCGGGAATAGAGGGACTGTAAGGCCAGTGAGGGGTCAGAACCTCACTTAGTGCTAAGGCATGTTGAGCTCGAGTTCATCCAGACATAACCTGCAGTGTGGGCAGTGAGGAGCCTGGCGGCCCCAGGGTCCTCTCCTGCCTGCAGTCTTGGCCAGCTAACGGGGGTGAGACCGTCCCTCCCCACCCTGTGACACACACTTTCACACTTGCCATACACTCAGTCTGTGGGTCAGAGAGGTTTTTAAAAGGTGACAGATAACTAGTGCCGATGGCAAGATATATTCCAGGCAGCTCTCCATTTTCTACAACAGAAAAGTGAAATAAATGAAAATAACACTTTAAGAATAATCTCTACACGGGTGGGAGCCCCTCCCTTGGGGACGGCGAGGACCGTGCAGAGGCCCCAGCTGACAGGGTGGTGGCCTCATGCCTGCAGACGGCCTTCTCCACACGGCTTCCCCTCCAGGTCACGCAGGGGCGGCAGGGGAAGCCCAGGGCAGAGCAGGAAACGTCAGACTTGCTGAGGGAGACGAGCTGGGCGCGCTCCCTCTGGCCGAGACCTGTGGTCTGAGGCCGGCCCGCTGCAGCCTCTCCCCAGGACTTTCCAAGGAAAAGCCGAGCTGCTTGCTCTTCCTGCTTCACAGTCCTGTGAGCGTCACATCAGGGTGGGCTCAGCCCTCCTCCCACGAGCAGAGCTCGGGCCTCACACTGGGCCTGGGGTGCTTTCTGCCTCCTGGGGTCCCCCTTCCACGAGGGCTGTGGGGCATGGTGGAGGTGACAGTGGCTGGCTCAGGGTGTGTGGAGCACAGTGAGGATGAAGGGGGCCTTGTCTTTCTTTCTCACTAATTTTTGAGAGTGGACTACTTTTCTCATTCAGAACCTAACTGCTCCGTGTGTCTGCTTTCTGGGGGTGCTGCCTCCCCGCAGTCGTGACAGACCCACCTCGCCTGCATCTGCAAGTTGGTGGCCGCGAGCACTCACCTTGATTACGGTCCCGAAGGCCTGCTGAGTGCTGTCCGTGTGCCTGGCTCTGGGTCACCAAGAAAGGACATGTTCTCTGCTTTCCAGGGCTGGCAGGCAGCCAGCAAGTGAGCCGTGCGCACATGTGACAGGCACCCTGGGAGAAGCCGCGTGTCTGCGTGCAGGGAGAGAGCCGGCGGGTGCCTGGGAAGACGTGGTGGGAACAGGGCGTGTGGCCTGGGCATGAACAAGGCCCAGAGGGGAAAAACAGCCTGTGGGGAAGAGGGGCGGGGGTCCCATCCTGGACCATGCGTGGGTTCCGGGGTCTGTGACACCCCCCATTTACATGAAGCATCACTGTGGGGACTGACCTGCAGCTTTTCTGGTCAAGGACCCTTAGCTTTCTTAGCTTCTCAGAGTGGGGCTGGCGGGGTGCATGATTCCAAAGTAATGGGGGGCAAGGAGCTGGTTGTAATGCGTGGAGCCGGCGTGCAGATCCCTGCGGGCCTGCCGGGCTGCGGCTCGGCTGGGGTGGGGACAGACCTGCACTCGGAGGACGTGTCTGGTTGGGGGAGGTGGTCAGCCGTGCGTCCAGCTGAGAAGCCAGCGAGCTTCTGCAGCAGAGTGTCAGGGAGGAGACGGGACGCCGGGAGGAAGAGGGAGAGCATGCGGGTGACCCTCTGCAGGGCTTCTGGAGAAGTGGGGACGGGGCTTAGTCCGGGAGAGACACGAGGGCGAGACCGGAGGACACGGCGCTCTGCCGAGGGTGCGCTGGGCCTGGGGTGCAGAGCAGGCAGGAGGGAGTCAGCCCGGGGAGAACTCATCTGGGCGTGGCGAAGGAGCGCTGAGATGCGCAGTGGCGAGCGCTGAGATGCGCAGTGTCACAGGAGGAGGAGCGGCCTGAAGTGCGGCAGAGAGGCTGCGGAGGCAGGAGTGGTGGCCTTCAGGAGAGCCATTCCCTTGCCTTGGTGTTGGGGGAGGGGAGGCAGGCAGGGCCGTCCACCGCTGCCCTGTGCTGCGATCTAGGGAGGCCCGCACACTGCTCTCCCCACTGCTCTGGCGAGTCCGCCTCCTGCTTCGGGGTAGTTCCTCCACCGCCCCGTCTGGTACCTCCAGCCTCCTGGGACCCTGGACACCGAGCTTGTTAGAACCGCACCCTAAATGAAACGGACTGGGGGTTCCCGTGAGTGAGGTGCATGAGGCCTGTGCAGTACTGATGACGTGTCGTCTTGGTGTCATTCCTCATTCATGTCATGGGTCTGGGTGAGCCAGTTCTGGATAAGTAAGATGTGACTTCTCTGCTCTCGTGACAGTCAGGGCTGGAGGGGGAGAAGCAGGTGGCAAGCATGGGTGACCAGGGCATGGGGTGCCCACCTCGACCTGTCCAGCTTCCTCTCCCTCCACTTACTACGTTTAGTTCCCAGCTCACAGCAAACTCCCATGCCCCCGCCACTGTGCCCGCTGTCTTTCTCTAGCACCCCGTAATGCCTGTCCCTCGCCGCCTGCACTGATTACCCCTTTGGTGCCTGCAGGCACTTCCAGAAGTGCCCGTGCCAGCTCAGTCAGTGCTGCGTGTGTGTCTGCTGTGTGCAGGTGCCACATCTGTCACCTCACAGCCCCTGGCCCCTCGGGCAGTGCCTGGCACAGAGTGGCCGGCACAGCCCCTGTCCTGACGAGCAGATTCGAACATGGGTGGCAGAGAGGTGTCTTTGACTGACTGGGGAGGGTTCTCCTGATACCCAGCCTGGCTTTCTTTTCAGGAGACCAGACTACATGTATGTTTGGAAATAAATGGAGACCGTAGATTACTTGGAAATCCTTTTTATTCGACCCTCTTTGTCTACGTCAGCGGTTCTCAACTTGTGGGTCGCAACCCCTTTGGGGGTCAAACAACCCTTTCACAGGGGTTGCCTAAGACATAACAGTAGCAAAATTACAGTTATGAAGTAGCAACAAAAATAATTTTATGGTTGAGGGTCACCACAACATGAGGAACTGTATTAAAGGGTCATGGCATTAGGAAGGTTGAGAGCCCCCAGTCCTGCATGAAGTCAAAGACCCAGTTGAGTGAAAATTGAGCCCTCTTGCCCTGGCCGGTTTGGCTCACCAGTTAGAGTGTCGACCCACGGACCAAAGAGTCTCAGTTGCAGTTTGGTCCCTGGCCCTAGTTGGGGTCATGCAGGAGATAATCAATCAATGTGTCTCCCTTCATCTGAAGAGAAATAGAAAAATATTCTCAGGTGAGGATTAAAAAAAAAATGCAACCCTCTTGCCCAGCCAGTGTGGCTCAGTGGTTGAGTGTTGACCCATGCACCAAGAGATCGCCGGTTCAGTTCCTAGTCAGGGCACATGCCCAGGTTGTGGGCCCGATCCCCAGTGGGGGCATGCAGGAGACAGCCAGTGAATGTTCTCTCTCATCGATGTTTCTATCTCTCTCACTCTCCCTTCCTCTCTCTCTAAAATCAGTAAAGAAAAAAATTTTTTTTTAATGCAACCCTCTTGATGTTTCAGATCACGAAAACAAATGATGGGGTAGTTGGCTTGGTCAGTCTCTGGCTTGTAGCTTGGATGGGCCCTTGTCTTTGGCCTATGAAACAGCAGACAGAACCTGAGAACGGACGTCTAGTAGGAACTGGCAGCCAGGAAGGTCTGTTACAGGCCCTTTAAATATTCGTGTGAGATAGCACAATAGTGAAGTGCTTGGAAAAATCCAGAAGGCTTTGCATCAGCAGGAAGGAAAATCCAACCCGAGATGCATGAACAATAAATAACAACTGTTCTGAGTTAGGTTGAAAGCTCTGAGTTGCACTTTTTTCAAGTTGTTTGTGCTAACCACAATTTTTCTCCCCTCTTTCCCACCAGGGCTTATTTCAAAACCTTTGTCCCTCAGTTCCAGGAGGCAGCGTTTGCCAATGGAAAGCTCTAGGAAACACCAGCCTTGAGAGGTGGCCAACCAGACTGCGCTGTCCACATGCGCGTCAGCACATATGGCCGCTTCCTGGAAGCCACTTGGAATGTCTTCATGGCAGCGTCTTAACGCTCACACAGCAGCTTTGCGAGCCCCGTCTGGAACCCACACTTGAGCTGGCTGGCGGTAACTGTCCTCGAATCCCCCACCTCTGGTTGCTCCCGCTTTGTTTCCTTCGATAAATTTCTTACTTGGAAGAAATAAAGTCACAAAAGTCATGATGCAATATTTTTTTAGGGAAAGTAAGACATCATAAATGCATACACCCTTGTTCTTTGTCTCTCAGACCTCTTTTAAGTTTTACAATTAAACCCTTCTCTACTTTTTCCCCCCTAAAACTAGATCGTGTGTGTGTGTGTGTGTGTGTGTGTGTGTGTACGTTTCAGCCATCCACTCGGTCAGGCCCCAGGCTGCAGCACAGAACAACTGGGTTCCAGCACCAGCCCCCGTCCCCCCCTCCAGCTCCCTGTGCACCACCAAGTACACAGCCCATCCTGACCCAGGAGGCTGTGGTTAAAGCTTGCTGAATGCATCGATGCATCTGTCCCTCTCTTCCCTCGCCCGTCCCGAGGCTGATGGGAGAGATCTTGGGGCCTTGGCAGCTCTGTGGGATTATACCTGACAGACCTTCTGTGGGCCGTACAAGGGGGCCTGGCCTCTCACTGTTCCCAGAGTCCCCCTGTGGCTCTTGGAGCCCAGTCTCACCATGTGAGCCTGGAAGGGAACCAGCTCAGTGCTTTGTGGGGACTGGGGAGGAATACCTCCACCCTGTATTCCCTGCACCCAGGATGTTCTCTGGAGGCGGAGCTTGAACAGACTCCCGGCACGGCTCCCAGCTGGCAGCTGCCCAACTTGGATCTTTCTCCGCGTACTTTGCCCCTCGCCCTGAAACCTTGGGGATTCCCATGACGAGAATAGTCCAATGTCCTCTGTCCACACCCAGGCTCTGCCACTAGCTGGCTGGGTGATCTTGAGGAAGTCCCTTTGCTCTGTTATATAAGGAGTCAATTCATCAGAATCACCCAGGGGCTTTGTAAATGACTACTGCTCTGGGCCCCACTGCAGACCTGTTGAATCAGAACTCATTAGCTGCGGTTTAGGCACCTGGATTTGCTAACACTGCCCAGGTGCTTGTGTTGAGTAAGTGGTCGTGACCCCCTCAGCCAGCTGACTGCCCCTGTACCAGGGCGTCTGTGTGCCAAGCTCCACTCTTTCTGCTGTCGTGTAGGTTTCTGTGGTCACCCTCCCCGCATGGAGGGACATGGAGGGGCGGGCTGCCTCAGAGCCAAGTGCTGACGGAGTCAAGGTTCACCTCGGACCCGGGAGGAATTCCCAGCTCCAGTTCCAGCAGAGGCCGTCGTGGGATAGGGCGGATCCGTGTAGCCTGGGTACCCCTGGCATTTCAGGTAGCCAGTCAGCAGTGGGCAGTGTGATCTGGGAGTGGCCCCCTGCCCCTGCCAAATTCCAGGGCCACATATGCTCAGGCTGCCCTGGTCGTGCGTGGTCGCCCACGCATCAGCAAAGTGAGCAGCAGCGTGACTCGGAAGTGCTGTTACAGCTCTCAGCCCATCTCTGCAGCAGACCCAGGAGGTGGCACGTGGAAAGGGCCCCCCCGTTCCACAGATAGGGGAACAACATCAGGGAGGCTGAGTTACCCACGATCACCAGCCAGGTCAGGACCCAACCTAGGCTCCTGGCTCGAGGTCCAAAGCCGTTTTTCATGAAGTCCACGATTCTCTAGTCAACTGAGGCTTATTTTATCTTTGCCAGTAGAGGAGGGTATACTATATCCGCTTGTGAGCGTGGAGACAACATGATTTTTGAAAAGCCTTTCAGCACAGGGCGGAGGGTTTGGGCTGATCTTCCTAGGCCACCAGACAACAGAAGGTGATAATAGCAACCATCCTTCAAATGCCTGGGATTCAAAACCAGCATCTGTGAGATTTTATCCCTACCCGGATGGCAGCAGAAACAAGTGGCACTTGTAAATGGGTGACAGTCACCTGTGTACTTTTAACGCCCCTTTCGGTTCAGCCTGTCGGGGAGCGCTGTACTGCACACAGAGTGCAGCCCAGGACTCATTAGTAAATGACTACAAATGCTTTGAAGATGAAAAGTGCCGTATATGAGAGCACATTATCATTACCTCGTAAATCCTGTCTCCGGCTTACTCAGCCCTTGTGATTTCAGTGAATCTTTAGCTCAGCACAGACAAGGAAAAGGACTCAGATATGTTTACTAATAATACCCCGACGAGATCAGGGCATCTCCTAGGGGCTCCGAGGACGAGGCACAAGAGACCTGAGCAGCCAGGGTTCGGCCTGCCCCCTGCGCTCAGCTGGTTTCCCGAGGACCCACCGCCCACAGGCAGGTGGCTCTCCGTTAGAGAGAGCCCATCTTCTGGGAGGAACTGCAAAGAGTATGAGCCTGAGGAAGAGACAGACTTATATTTGAATCCTGACTCTGCCCGTTCAGTGTCTGGTAAATATTTAACAAGCAGTTCTTAGCAGTTTAAAAAAGGAGGGGCCCTGATTTGTGCTGTTTGCCAGTTTCCAGTGTGTAAATACGCCCACTGTGCCCGATCTCAAGCCCTGAATGTGAGGTCCCCAGCTGCAGGCGGGAGGAGCGGGGAGGGTCGCTGTGGGGGAGCCTCTCTGGGTGAGGGGCTCCAGTGTGGGTCTTCGCTGACTCTGAGATTCATTTTCCTCATCGATAAAATGGGAACAAATAATATCTGCCTTCCAGGTTGTGAAAATTAAATAAGAAAAGTACATAAAGCACCAAGTAGGGTGCTTGGCACATAGAAACATTTGATAAATAGTGGTTGTAATAGCTGCAGACCAGAAAAAGGCTTTTCTGATGTTGACTTTGGCCTTGGTCTAAAAAGTCAGAATGCCCCTGTTAAAAAGTCCTGCCAGTGACCCTTTCTGGATTACCAGGAAGACAGAAACTGAGTCATCTTGATTTTAATGAGTGAGAGATTGGATGTATCTGTGGGAGTTCCCAGCCCCCCCATACACGCACACACAGACACGCACACATTGGTCCTGCCCTAACCCTCGGGACTCGGGAACGACCAACCACTGCCCTGCTTGCGCACCCGGCCCGAGCTTTCCCACAGACAGGAAAATCAGAGCAGTGCAGGTCACTTTTGCTTGTGACTCAGTTTCAGTTCCTGATGGCTGCAGACTTGTTTTGGGGTCAAAGCCTTGCCAGAAAAACAACCACATTCGGTTTGCCTCTTGCTTGGGCCTATAAATAGAACTAGCCCCAAACTTGCCCCAGTTCATAGGGACTGGCTGATCCCACGGTTCTTAAATTGAATGTTAAGAACAGCATCTCATGATAAGATGACATTGAATTCTATTAATGGCATCATCATTAAGTCATTGGTGCTCCTTACAATGAAAATGAGAGGAAACTTCACCCCTTGTTTATGCCTCTTAGGGCTTAGGTACGGTGCAGTGGGGTGGACACGGGGGAGTGGGCCAGATGTCAAACAGAAATGGCATAACCGCCCTTGCTGAGCTGTGAATGACGTTCTATACTAGCTGCTTTTCACGTGTTGTCTTTTTTAAACCTCAAAATAAATGAGAATAGATGTTATCTTTTTTCTTTCTTTTTTTTTAATTTTAAAGATAGGAAGGGGGGAGAAAGAGAGAAGCATCAATTTGTTCTACTTATTTATGCATTCATTATGTGCCCTGACCAGGGATCAAACCCGCAACCTGGGCCTCTGGGAACATGGCTCCAAGCAACTGAGCTCCCGGGTCAGGGCAAGGGTAGGTGTTATTATCCCCCTTTTACAGATAAATTGAGCCTCAAGGAGGTTAAATGACTTACCCAAGGACAGGAAGCTGGTCTATTTACCTATTCATCTATTCTGCCTTCTCTCCCTTCCCCTCTTTCTCTTCTTCCTTCCCTCCCTTCCTTCTCCCCTTCTGTCTGTGTTACACAAAGGAAGTGGAGCCAGCTCCTCCTGTTTCTTTCTCCTTACCTTATTCTGCTTCCCCAAACGAAGAGAGAGTTACTGAGCATCCGCCATACACACGCCCTGTATAAGGCTTTCACGTCCTTGTTTTTGTTTTTGTCCACAGGAGAGGGGCTTGGAGTGGTTGGGACTGGCTGAGATCGGATGGAAGCGGGAGCCAGGCCCAGGTGTGCTGGGCCCAAGGCCAGACTTCACCACAGGGGCTTGTGTGTGTCTGCCTGCTCCCAACCGAGACATGCGTCGAAGCAGTCTGTGTGTGCAGACAGGTCTGCTCTGTAAATGTATATAAACACCGACTGTTTTCACGTGGTGGAGCCAGGACCAGGCCAGAGTTGGAAAAGTTCTGATTTCAAAGCTTTGTCATATTCTCAGGTTAAAGTCCAAAACTCACTTGGTTGTCATAATGGCCTATTATCTGAGGAAAACAAGATGAAATAGTTGTTGCAATTATTATTATTTTTTAATCCTCATCTGAGGATTTTTTTTCTATTTATCTTCAGATAGAGTGGGAGGGAGGGAGAGAAAGAGGGAGAGGGACAGAGAGAGCAACATCGGCATGAGAGGGACACATGGACTGGTTGCCTCCCTCCTGCACAACCCCGACCAGGGCCGGGACAGACCGCAACCGAGGTGCGTGCCCTTGACCAGAATCAAACCCACGACTCATTGGTCCGTTGGCTGACGCTCTAACCACTGAGCCAAACCGGCCAGAGCAGTTGTTGCAGTTATTAAATCAGCTATTACCCAAGGTTTACCCAGGTATTCCCAGCGACAGCAGGACCAGGAACTGATTCCAGCTGTGAATTAGCTCCAAGGCTTCTTCCCTGACCTAGCTCGTGCTTCCGTCAGGGCTCCCGCATCTGCGCCGTGTTCGTCTCTGCTTCCTTCGGAAGAGCCACACTTTGCACAAGCCTGAGAGGTCATGCTTGGGGTCATGAGAAATTATGACCAACCATGGCAATAAAAGTAGCCCTACAAGCAACCCAGGAATGGCCAGAATGACCCTGCCTGCCGCAGGCCAGCTGCCTCTGCACCACATGGGACAAGCCAAATGTCGTGTGGAGCGTGACAGACATCGTCCCTCCGAAACAGCCCACCCCTTCTTCAGAGCGCCTGGGACAGAGTTCCTCTACAGAGTCTCCTCATCCCAGAGACTCGGGAACATGCCCTTTGAGACCATTTAGAGGCCACCCAGGAAAATCTCTCCCTTT